TTGAAACTGATCAGTTTCAGCAGCGGCTGAATCTGGACGCCAGTTCTGACTTACATACAGATTCAACTTAAGAACAAACCTACAGTCCCTATCTTGTACGTAACCCGGGGACTGCCTGTAGTCTGGTAGGACTTAAAAGACTAACAAAACATGTAGATGGTATCATGAGCTTTCGTGGGCACATGTTTTGTTGTTTTTTAAATTTATCCTGTACGGACTAACTCGGCTACCCCCTGAAGCTTTTGGAAATACAATGATAACCAGTAACTTTGTGTGGCACTAGAAGATTTACTTGGCATTGCCCAGGTCCTTAACTCAAATAAGCTTTGTTTTTCTTCATTTACATCATTGCTCTGGGATGAGGTGGGGGATGAGGGGTTCAGTATACAGGCTGCCCCGGGGAGAGTGGACAACCGCTGCCCCTTTTCACCATAGCAACTTGGGGCCAGGTGAAAAGCACCTGTCCGTGGCTGCTTCAGCTGCATTGGGCACATCTGGGAGAAGGGTGCATGTTGCCCCGTTGGGGGACAGACACACAAACAAGGCATACAAAGAAACCCTCTGAAATATATAATGGATACCTTTCCCTTTCTCCACTCTCATCCCGTGCATATCCAATGGGGTTATAGCTGTCCCAGTCCTCATTTTTGGACCCTTGCTTCCCCCCTGTAGTCATTCTGCCCTCCTTCCAGACCCCTCCTTTTCCATTTTATGAAAATTAATAGAAGTCAGGCATATCCCATTACGCTAGCACGACCAAACCTTTACATTGCTTTTAGTTATGATAAGAGGAAGTAGCATACCAAATTTGGTAGTTCCAGCTCTTACCATTTAGTAGGAGTTCTTAAACAATTCATTGCCAGATGGACAGACAGCCATACAAATTTCCTAAAATAGATAGTAGAATTTGGTGGTTCCATTTAAAAAAAAAAAAAAACTAAGAAAATCAACAGTATGCAAAAATGAAACTTATTAAAAAAGTTATAAAACCTTTATATATCTCAGAATGTTGCTTTCACTTTCAAGTAGTTTGGATAAAATGAGTCTAGTTTTCCTGTCCTTCATTGGGATGAAAACAGCTCAAAACTTGAGGCACAGCAGACTGGCAGGAAACAGGAAATAACCATTTGACTTCTTTCTGGATCAACAAACATTTACCAGGAATTCCTGACCATAATTACTTTAGTCCATTTTCTAATAAATATTGGTTAAGACTAAAGCTGACATCTCTGCTTATAATACTTATAAAAGTTGGAGAAAGATGAAGGTCTAATGCAGTACTAAGTGAATGTTTTAACAAAATATATAGGGAAGTCCAACCTGGTCCAGCACCCTCGAGACCTGACCAGTGCCAAATGAGGGAATTTGCCAGATCAGGGGAGGTTTCCCGGCCACCGGCCTCCCAGGACTCTGCCCCTCCCTCCTGCTTGCTCCACTCCAGCCCTGCTTCTACAAGGCTTGGAGCTTGGCTCTGGCCGGCTTCTGCCAGCTGGCTGGGGCTCTCCAGGGATGGAGCTCCCCAGCTGCCGTGACCCTGCTTCTAACCCACCTGGCTGGAGCTTCCCAGGGGACGGGGCTCTGTGGCTGCCCCGCTGGGCCAGGGCTCCATGGCTGCCTGGCTGCTACCGCGCCAAGTCGGGGCTTCCCATAGATGGGTCTCTGCGGCTGCGCCAAGTCGAGGTTCTGTGGCTGCCCTACTGTGCCGTGCGCACCTGGGACTCCTCAGAATGGAGCTCACCAGTCCCCATGGTGGGGCTCTCCTGCCGCTGAACACCCAACTGGCTTGCACTCCCGGGCACTGGGGCTTTTTGGTTCAGCAAAATCCATGATTGTGCTGGACCACAGGTGTTGCCAGACCGGAGAATGCTGGATTTAGAATGTTCAACCTGTATATAGTGAGTTGAGAGAGAACATTTATTATTGCTAGCAACTGAAATCTGAGCAGGTGGTATCCAAACATATATTACCCTAGGACTGATTAATAAGTTGTTGTCTATGCCAGATGGTGTCCAGTCAAGAAACTGTTGTTTTAAAAATGAAATATTTATAGCATGAAAAACAGCTATCCAAAAGCCACGGATAATAATGCTCAGGGGATTTCTGAAACTGACAAGAGATTTTGAAGTTGACAGTTCACATGCCCTTGATGGTGATGGATTTTTCAGAGATTTCCCTACTGTGTATAAATATTGAGGCTTTAAGGAAATTATGAAGTGTTTTCAAGTGTCCCCCTCTCCAGCTCCATAGCATATACTCCATGTAGGTCCCCGATAATACCCATTGTTAAAATAGAAACTGTCTTTATCATGAGATACTATGGTTTCAATAAAGGAAATAGAGACGAGTCATGTTGGATATACCGTTCAGGACATCTGGCACATTTCAAACATATTTGTTTCCGCCCTTCCTTCCCCCGAGTAGCTAAATGTATTAGTGGTTATGAATGTGATGGGTAGAACCCTCAACAGTTGACAGAGATTCTTGACCAGGGGTGGGCACAATGCAGCCTGCAGACCACATCTGGCCCACCAAACCGTTTGATCCGGCCTGCGGCCACCTGGGCATAGAGAAGCATGGGGGTGAGAGACTTTGCGTGCTCCTCTCGTGCCCTGATTGGCGATGTAGTCTAGGAAGTCCCCTCCTCCACTACCAGTGGCACACGTTGCATAGATGGAACAGCCAGATGTTCAAAACGGCTTTAGGAGTATCATCGTAGCGGGGGGCAGGGAACCATGCAAACTCTCTCACCCCTGCCAGGGGCATGTAGAGTGAGCCCCCTGCTGTTCCCTCTAGGCACCGCATGACCCTGGTGAGGGGCGACAGACTTGACGTGCTCCCCCGCCCCCAGGACCTGATTGGCCTGGGAGAGTAGGGGTATACACAAAGTCTCTTGACGCCCTGGGATTCGCAGCCCTGAGCAACACATGGAGGGACCCCATATGGCTGAGGCCACTCCAGGAGGAAGCCTACCTCAGAGATCCTGTTAGGCTGCTGCCCAGGAGCCACCTACGGTAAGTGACTCCTGGCT